TAATTAAAGGTCTCTTCTTGCCAGAAAATTTCAGAGATCATTCGACTCTCTTAAATAAATTTTGTCACTCTTAAAATCGTTCTTTTAACATTATAATTTAATTTTTTAAAATCGGACACAAACACTACAGCAATATAATTATTTATATGTAAAATTGAAAATAAGTAATTATTTTATCATTTATTACAGTATTTATTAGATTAAATAAATTCTGATTCCCCATAAAACACTGTTTTTATATAAAAACTCAATTTTATTTTAATCGGGCACGTAAACTGATTTTAAAAACTATTGAGAAATGTTTATTATTCATCTAAGAATTATAATCAAAAAGAATTTTTAAGTGCCAATTTATTTTTATTTAAACCACCTTCTGGCGCACAATAATTACCAAAATAGAAATTTTTTCGAATTTTTTTTTAAATTTTGGGATTTCTTTGTGCATTGTTATTTTGTAAAATATGCAACAGAGGGTCAATTTAAAAAAAAAAAACGGAAAAGGAATGATGCATGGCTGAACATTGCTTTAGGAGGAGATTTTATATACATATTCATAAATGCGTCTATATACTTCCTTCTTGTACCTGTTAATTTCGAGTTCACTTTTACATGTTTGTCAGTGTCGCGAATACACTTTTTGATTTTAAGACGTGGTTAGCGGCGTATCATCGTGATTATACGGTACTTGAACTTATTCATAAGCGTTACTAAAACCCTATGTATATTATTCAGTTTCTTCCTTTGTAAAAATAAGTCACCTTCTACATGCACACGTGCATGTTCTTCTATACATCCGAAACTTCGAAATTAAATCAAACTTTCCCTTATATAATTCACTTTTTAAACCTTATAATTTTTTTTCAATTTCTCAAAAATTAAAAAAAAAATAATAATAATTTTAAAAAAAAATTAAAATAATTTTAAATTTTTCAATAAAAATTATGAAATTTTGTAATCGAAACAAAATTTTTTAATTTTCAGGGCGTATGAATTTTAAATTAATTTCATTTTAAAGAATTTTTTATATTTCTTAAACAAATTTTCAATTTTTTGAATTAGCATTTGAACTTATTTTTTAAAGGAATTTTTACCGAATTTTTGTTTCACAGAATTTTTATTTCCATTTCTTTTTTAACCAAATTAAAAAAAATGTAATTTAACCAAATATTAAGCAGAATTCTGTATTTCAGCAAAAAAAAAAAAACATTCAGAAAAATTTTTTTAAATTAAAAATTGGTTTAAAAAAAAAATTCTCTCTAATTCGAAAAATTCATCTGAAAAAATAATTGTTTAAAAAATTAAATTTCAAAATTCTTTTAAATTTATTATTACTGTAGAAGTTATTATTACTGTAATAATAAATAAATTAATGAAATGAAAATTGAAATTTTCATTTCTACTTATAATTTAAATAATAAATATTTATTGAGCTGAATATTTGAAAAAAATAACGTACTGGCAACTTTGTCATAAAAATAAAGCATATGCGTATCAAAATATTCGAAACACACGAGAAACTATAAAGGGGGTGAAAACTATGCATTCATTTCCTGTCTCTCGCTCTCTCTCTCTCTCTCTCTCTCTCTCTCTCTCTCTCTCTCTCTCTCTCTCTCTCTCTCTCTCTCTCTCTCTCTCTCTCTCTCTCTCTCTCTCTCATTTTAGGCAGTGATTTGTGGGAAATTTTGTTAAATCCCACTCATTTTTGGGATTAAATTTATTTATGCAGAATCTAATTAAAATACACGTGACATATTTAAACGTGAGAATTTTTTAAATTCAAAAAAAAAAAATTATTCTTCAACGGTTAAAATATTTATACTAATAAATAATTCAATATTAAAATTATACGTAAATTATATGTTATATTTTTTATTAATATTTTCAATATTTTATTTGTCTTTTTATAAATCCAGTTCATTAATTGTTTTAGTTTTTGGAAAATTTTTTATTCTAAACAAATAAATATTTACTGATAATAATTTTTATTTGAATTAAATAAATTCCAACCATTTTTTTATATTCAGGAAAAAAAATTTTCTATCTGTATCAGCGATATGTTTCTCTGGAATAGCGAAAATTTTTTTTTACTATTTTAGTGAAATATATCGCTGTGCCAGTGAAATTTATCGCTATTTCAGGTGAATTTTTTTTTTCCGTGTTTGAAAAAAAAATAATTTCTGTATTTGAAAGAATTATCATTTAATATTGACAAAAATAATAATTATTTAAAAATATTTATTTGATAACTAACCGATTATTTTTTAATCAAATATTTTTCAGTATTAAGTAAAAAAATTTTTTTCTCAATATTCGAAATAAAAGAAGGTGAATTTTTTTTTTCTCAACTCGGCTCATTAGTTCGTCACGCTAAAATTTCATCGTTAAATAAGAAATCCGTTTCTCTCGAAAAGGGGGGGGGGAGTTCTCTCTTTATAATAATGAATAGAGACGTTAAACATACAAGATGGGACGCGCGATAAGCAAAGAAAATTTGTGTCCAGATATAATAATACACAATGTAACATATCGTAATCATAGAAGGGAGTCAATGAATGAAAAAAAAAAAAGAAAAAAAAAAGAGAATGACATAGCAATGTTGGTTAGACTTTTTAACTTTGTCTAAATTCATTGTGGCCAACCACTCGGCCATGAAACATCATCGAAGGGGTTGTTGCACGCATTTATAGAAACAGATGGTCGATTGCGTAAAATCGATTTTTACCGATTAAAATCTCAAGTAGTGTATATATATTTACCCCCCTTGATCATCATCGTCATCGTCATCGTTATCGAGCATTGACTGTATAAACGTGTGTCAAGATCGCGTGATAAAAATGTCGTCAAAAATACGCATTTTCATATTATATGCCAGCTGCTTACTCGTCGGTCATTTCCTCTTCAATGCTTTCCATTTTTCAGGCTAGTTAAATTCGATATATTGAATCATGAAATCTGACAGTTTTTTTCTTAAGGAAAAAAATGAAGAAAAAAAAATCACTAAACCCGAAAATATATATTTGGGGAAAATTTTGCAGCTGGAATTTTTTTTTTATCAATTTAACGTTTTACAAAATTTAAAATGACGCATATGATTATTACTAATTTTCCTCATTTTTTTTTAACTGAAATAAAATTACACAATAATTACTATTTTTTATCTTGGATTTTCTTTTTAATATTTTCGTTAATAATTTTTATTTTCATTCATTTTTTTTATTATTATTTAAGCGGTTAGAAAGTGGTGAAAACAGGCTTAAAATTAATAATATTATTATTATTCTATTTTTTTATTTCTATTTTTTATATTAATAAATTTATATTAATTAATAATACCTAATTAATTAATTATAATTTCTATAGAATTTTGACATTTTTCTTGTTCTAAAAATTGCCAAAATTCTATAAAAATTATAATTTATTATTAATTTATATATTTTATAATTTTATTTATTAATAATTATAATTTATTAATATTAATTCTATTCATATTTGAAATTATATTGATCATTATTATTGATTAATAATAATCTGAAGTTATAGTCCGATTTGTAACATTATATGTTTATATATACTATTAATTAAAAAATAATTACTTTGTAGTTAAATTTTCAAATTATTAAAGATAATTAAAAAAAAAATTTTGTCTTTTCTTTATGACGCATCGTCTTAACTTGAAATACTCAATGATAATTATCATTTACATTTTCATTTGTGAAAAAAAAACCCAGTTCTGTATTTGAAAAAAAAAAGAAAATTTAATTGACTCAGATAATAATTATTAAATAGAAATAAATTATTTCTACTATTTGATAAGTAATTATTTGAATTAAATAATTTTTTGTCAGTACTTAATTTTTCAAACAAGAAACTATTGTTCATTGATTTGACAAAAATTTATTTCTTTTTTTTATCAATATTAAAAGCTAATTTACCATAATGAAATATTTCATTTTAATATTCAATTAAAAAAAAAAAAAAAGAATGCATTATTTTCTCTGTGACGAAAGAAAAAGAAAAATTCGACAATTCTTATTTAATTGTTTTATAATTAAAAATTAATTTACCAAATTATTAGTTTAAAATAGTTTCGGCAGCTGCTTATATGTAAACAAAAGGTATAGTATTTAAAAAAAAAAAAATTCAGATAACCTAAATGTATAATATAGAGAAAGAGAGAACCACGTGATGTGGGTGCAACCGCTTCCTATTTTGTTTCCCCCCCTCCCCTTTTTTTCTGCTTTTGGTTTCGTAACGCGAAATTATGGGTTCGAAAACCGCAACTCCACCCCTTATTACAGATATTTATTTATATATATATATATATATATATATATATATATATATATATATATAAAAGGGTTTCTGTTTGAAAATTTTACTTTTCATATAGTGAATGTTGATAAATTTACTGGCCTGGGCATATAATGGACTCCAAAGGGGGATGGAAATGCTTATTTCAAACCAATCAAAGCTGCAATTACATATACAAAAAACCCCTTTTTTTTCATGAGTTGACAACTTTGAATTCTTTTCAAATGCTCGGTCAGTCAATTGACTGTATTTAATTTTTTTTTACTTTTATTTGAACGCATAATATAAAAAGGGAGGACACAATCGGAAATAAAAAATTCTGATTATTAAAGAAAAAATTAACTTAGCGAAAAATATTAATTGTATGCAGGTGGTTTTTTTTTTCATATCACTGAAAAAAAATTTGATTCAAATAATCTGTTACTTGACTATAATCAAATATAGCTATAATTGATTAATAAATAAATTTTTTTTCATATTTATTATAATAAAATTATATTTTTTATATAAATATTTTAAAATAATTTTATACATATAAAACAATAAATAAAAAAATAAATGTAAATAAACTAGTTGTATACAGCATTGTAAGTATATACTTATAGATAAAAATTTACACTGACCCGATGGAATAGAGTGGGGATTAGGGTAATTAGCTTTCGAAGACTATTTCATAATTACAAAGGTAAATGCATTACTTGTTTCTCAGTTTCTTTAAATTGTCATCGACCGTCATATAGGAATATTATTCTTCGAGTTTTGTGAATTGTAGTAATTTTTTTTTTTAAAAGTGTTCTACGCTTTTATGTGCAGTGTTTTTTAAAAGTAATATTTAAACAATATAGGTTAATAATTACGTCGAAAAAAAAAGTTTTTAAAAAATGGCTTTCAAGAGGATTTTATTACTCTGTTGTTTAGTTTCCTTCGGAATAGCTGTTGATAGTAAGTTATAAGTTTTAATATATTTTAAACTTGAAACGTAATCAAAAATAAAAATAAATAAATAAAAATTAACTGTCCCATAAATATAATTTAATTTTTTTTCAATTTAGATATAAAATTCTTTTTTGATTGTCAAATACCTGAGAATTAATTTTTTTTTCTAGAGAAAAATTTCAAAATTAAGTTTTAAACATTTTTTTCCTCGATATAGACTACAATAGAAAATTGTCTTCGCATATCATTTTGCGAAGGCTTTCAAGTTTATTTTATCTGCCTAATTATAGAAAAAAAAAATACAAAAGTACGTGTTATCACTTCAAATTTTTTAAATTATATATACCATAATTTCATAACTAAAAATAAAAATAATTTAAATTTTTTTTAAATTTAATATTTATTCATATCTAAATATAAAGAAAATAATAATAATAATAGAATTTAGATTAGTTTCAATGAAAATTGATAATTGCATTGAATTTAATATCAATTGTGTATTAATAATTATTATAAATATCAAAATAAATTATTAAAATAAAAATATATTTAAACATTACACCAACAGTAACAACAACTCTTGCACCAGAAATTAGTACTTTAACCACAAATGGAGAAACAGAAGGAGTTACTCAAAGTACAAATAAAAATGACACAAGTAAAACAAAAAAAAATGAAAATTCTGAAAATATTGACAATCCAACTACAATAATACCTGAAACACCAAAAAACTCTTCCACCACACCAGAAATTAAGGATAAAAAAGAAACTGACAATCCAACTACAATAATACCTGAAACACCAAAAAACTCTTCCAGCACACCAGGAATTAACGATAAGAAAAAAACTGACAATTCCACTACAAAACAACCAGAAACACCAAAAAACTCTTCCATCACACCAGGAATTAACGATAAAAAAGAAACTAACAATTCAACTACAAAACAACCAGAAACACCAAAAAACTCTTCCACCACACCAGAAATTAACAATAAAAAAGAAACTAACAATTCAACTACAAAACAACCAGAAACACCAAAAAACTCTTCCACTACACCAGGAATTAACAATAAAAAAGAAACTAACAATTCAACTACAAAACAACCAGAAACACCGAAAAACTCTTCCACCTCATCAGGAATTCCCCAAAAAAATATAACTGATAATAAATTACCCAATAATTCTAATTCAAATAAAAATAAAACAACAGATAATACAGGAGCAACAGATAAACCTCAAACTACAACTGAAATTAATGACAATCAAACTACAATAAAAGATGAACCGCAAACTACAACTGAAGTTAATGACAATCAAACTACAATGAAAGATGAACCACAACAGCCTAAAAATCAATCGACAACTCTTAATGTTTGGGACGTAAAAAAATTTAATTATGTGCTTATTAATGAAGCAACTAAAGTTCCTTGCACTTTGACTAAAATGAATATCACACTCACAATACCTTACAAGACAAAAGATGATAAGGTACATTTTTCTAATAATCCATTTCAAAATATAAAAGCATAATTAATAATCTCGAAAGTTTTCTCTGTATAATCCACAAGAATTTTAGAGCCTAATTTACCTGATTTTAGAGCATAACCTAATTTACTTGAATTTTCATGAAATCACAGAAAATTAAAAGGCATTAAAATAAGCTGCAACGCTTATTATTTTAATCCATTTTGGTATTAAAATAAGCAAAATTGGATTAAAATAATAAGCGTTGCAGATTATTTTAATGCCTTTTAATTTTCTATGTTCTTTTACCTAAATTTCTATTCAGAAAAAAGGGGAGGAATCATTTCACTGTTTTCTTGAAAGTATCAATTTGATACCGAATTGGATCAAATTGATCCCAATATTTGAATCAAATTATATATTTTGATCCAAATATTGGAATCAATTCGTTGCAATTTAATACTTTCAAATTAACAGTGAATTCCAATCACAGAAAATTAAAAGGCATTAAAATAAGCTGCAACGTTTATTATTTTAATCCAATTTTGCTTATTTTAATACCAAAATGGATTAAAATAAGCAAAATTGGATTAAAATAATAAGCATTGCAGCTTATTTTAATGCCTTTTAATTTTCTGTGATAGTAAAGTTATTAAGAGGAAATATTTATTTTATAGAATTTCCATTTGTAATCTTACAGAATTTTTAAAAAATATATTTGGCCTAATCCTATTCAATCTAACCTTCATTAGGCCTAATTCTTGTGTGTAACCCTAATCTTTTGCTTATATTTTTATTTTTATTGAAACTATATTAATCATATCGTGCAAAACGTTTAGAGAAAATTTTTAATACATATTTATTTTGTTAAAATGAATATTAAATTAATGCAGGCCGACAAAATTTTCTTCTACTTCAGAACAAAGGATCAGATTATATTTTTTGACATGAATCCGAATCTAATCTCAGAATTGAACCAGCACATCAGATTTTCGAGATTATTTCATTAAAAAAAAAAATTTTTTGGAAACTTTAAAAAATCTTTATTTGGCTGTATTATAATTTGAATTTCCTGAATGGTGAATGTTTTAATTCAGAGAATTCAAAAAAATTTCAATTTCAAAGAGCCAAATAAAAATTTTTGAAAGTTTAAAAATCCATTTGAAAGCCAAGGAATAGTATATACTTTCAGATGCTGCAACGATATTTTTGAAAAAATATTTCTTTGATGTTAAATGACTTAAAATATGGTATAATAAATTCAGCAAAATTCATCTGCGAAGTATATTCTGGTTCTTGGTTCTGAATTATAGGAAAAAATTTACTGTAATTTATTTATTAATTTGATATATTGAAAACTAAAAAAAAAAAATTATTTTAGATCGTTACAAAGAATTTAACAGTTCCTTTAAATGCAACTGTAAATGGTACGTGCAGCGAAAAAATATCAATTATGACATTAATATGGCAAGAATCAGAAGAATTGGGACTAACATCATCGGACAATGAACTTTCAATAAAAATTGTACGCGACGGTGATGTTCATTATGTTCAATTTTTAACTGTTTCCATTGCATTGGATAAAATTAATTTTCCAAATGCCACAGGTATAAATTTCATTTCATATTTAAAAAAAACTAATATAATTAATTAAAAGAAGTACCTATAGGTCGTGTAATATTTTTAATATGAAAATTTTTTTGACATTTTAAATTTTTATATTTTAGAAAAAAATTTGATTGTAAATTCTACTGACAATTTAATGTTGTTCCAAACTACGAGTCCAAATAATATATACATATGCAATAATGCACAAGTAATAAAAGCCGATGGCGTGACAGTTACTTTTGATAACATTCAACTTATTGCATTCAATACTAATGGAAATAGTACTTTACAAAAAAAAGGTAAGTTGTATTTTTTTTTAATTTTTAGATTAGGCCCTAAAAAAATTGTGTCAAAAATTAAATTATAATTATATTAATATTAATTATATTAAATATATATATTAATTTGAAAAAAATTTTTTCTTTACAGAGGAAATTTGTCCAACTGTCAAAATTATGACAAATAAGAAAAAAACGAAAAATATTGGTATAATTGTGGCAGCTATCTTAATAGCATTGGTGGGAATAACACTAATAATATTTATCGTTAACAGATATTCCAGAAAAGTAACTTCATGGAATATTACTAAAGCTTAAAAAAAAATTTCGTAAGCAAAAATAAAATTGGTCTTCACTCAAGGATTATTTACTAATATATATTAAAAAAAAAGAAAAGAAGATTTAAACAAGCTTAAAAATTCAAGACTCTATATAGTAAGAAAAAATAAAAACAGTACTCTAAATTTAAGAATATAATCTGCATTAATTTATTTTTACAGTGAAAATATAATATTCTTAAATTTAGAATATCTTTTTTTTTGTAACTATATAAAGTTTAAAAATTATATTAATAATTAGTTTTTAATTGCTCAATATTTATTAAGTTGACAACATATTTTTAATATTATTTATTATTTATATTTATAACTAAAAATTAATGTACAAGATAAAATTAAAACATAAAACTGATTTTCCATATAGTATGCATAATTTTGTCCCTTTTTCGAAAAAATAAGTTGCATACACATTTAATAAAAAAAAAAATACAAAAGTTATTATCTTTATTTATTATAAAATTCAAATTTAGCTTTTACTGTGATCAAATTTTTAAAATTAATAACTTCTTTCAAATTTGTTTAAACAATTAGTATTAATTAATTTATTTAAACAATATTAATTAATTATTTAAACAATTATTCACTATTAATCATGAAAATTATGCTTTAATTTTTATTTAATTGAAAAATAAAAATTTTAATAGCAGAGGTAATTAAATTATGCTCTACATGGAAAATCAAGAATATGTAATTAAAAATTTTTATTTATTTATGTAGCAAAAAAAAATGAATGCTCAATATATCTCGCGAAAATATATTCTCCAATCATTTAATAATAAATAAAAAAAAAAAAAATACTGGGTCCATCCCTCGTCACGGATACGCCCACCCCAATTACCCTATACGTTACTAAATTTTGGTACTTATCATGACATCTGCACATTCGTGTGAATCTTCCGCTCTACAAATGGTATTAAAAAAAATAATATATAATGTCCATTGCGTGATGAAAGTCTTTAATGTGAGAAATAAGGTTCATCGTACGCTCCAATTTTCTTTTTAAAAAAAATGTATTTACAAACTTATTGGTATTGAAAAAAAAATTGCACCAAAAAAAATTTTATTTATAATCTAAAAAATTTGTTTTTCACTTTATTTTCAAAATAAAATTTATAATATATATACAATTATTATTAAAAGAGCGTTATTTTAAATAAAAGAAATTTTTTCTTCAACTAATGTTAAAAATAATTTTTAAGTCATTAATAAAATTAAAATAACTAAAATAATTATTTTTTTTGATTTTATTTAAAAAAATTTTTTTTTTCTGAATCAAAAAAAGAATTTTTTTTCTGAAATCCAGTTAGCAACAGCTATCTCAAATGACTCAATATATAAATAATGTAAAACGTCAAAGTGAGAAATGACAATTTAATGTTATTTTAACGCACTTTATATTGTATTCAAAAAAAAAGAAATTGAAAAGTTTTCAGAAAATTGTGTAAAGATTAAGAGACTTTTCATTTTCAGGCTTTAAATTTATTTCTATTATTATAATTTTAAAATAAAGTAAAATTATAAAAATATCCATAAAATAACATTCGTTTTTTTTAATAAACAATTTTTAAAAAAATTTAAATAAACAAATTTTCGAAAATATTATATTTGAAATTGAATATAGTATCCCTATTTTTCTGATATTATAAAAAAATGTAATTAAAAAAAGAGAATTTTTAATATATAAAATAATTAGTTAAATAAAAAATTTCTTTCAAATCAAATCATAATTTTCATTTGGTCGCCAAATTTTTTTTGAATAAAACTGTATTTTTTTTTATTACAAAACATTTGTATAGAAAAATTTAATAAAAAATTAAAAATAATTTTTTTTTAAAATTATCTTTAAATTAAGAAAATTTTTCAACAATTTTAAATGTTTCTTTTTTAATTCAATAGCAAATTAGTAGTAAATTTTTAAACTAAAAATCGATAAAGAATTAAATAAATTTTTTTTTTGCATTTTTTTTTTCCCTTAAATTATGGACGTTAGGTGATTTTTCTTTTTAAAGAGATTATGATAAATATACTTGTAATACGAATCACAACAAAGAGGACGATCTGTTATCTACTGTTTTCTCAACACATATATATAATTCGATGATTTTTCGATAAGGCAACAATGATGAAGATGGTCATAACCCCGTATTACAATAATTGATATCATATAGATTGAACAACATCTGCTTTCTGATAGGGATATCCAGGTGTTAAATGAGGGGTGTAACGGTTATGTTATTTTTTTCTATCATTTTAATTTTGTGACCAAGTTACACGCGATTCAACATTAGTTCCGCGTGTGTATATAACACATATCCATAAACAAGTGATTCTCAATTATATTCGATCAAAAAAAAAAAAAAATTTCCATACCGAACAATTTTTTTCAATTTATAAAAAAAATCGGATACATTTCAAGGGGAAACGTTTAATCTGATCTCAAAGATGATTTTCATATTTTGAAATAAAAAAAAAATTCTTGAAAGTTTTTTTTTCTAAACAAAGATAAGATCTACCTTCTCATAAATTTTGAACAGAAATTTTTTACTTACGAAAAAAAAAAATTCAAGAATAGTAAAATCTTTGTAAATCATTAAAAAATTTTCATAGTAAATTAACAAAAAAGAAAAGAAAGCAGCTGATGATAAAAATGTAAAATTCTCACGGTGATTATTTGTATATATATATACGGTTTTTCTAATTTAAAGACATGGTTCATCGATTCATGACGGTTAAACGGCCAATATAAGCAATTGGCTTATCATTTTTTTAATTTGTTTCCCACGGGGGTCGGAAATACAATACGCATCACGCGAACATTCACCCTAATTTCATTTCGAGCAATTTACAAATTTACGACTGATGCTAAAACGTGCTATATATATATATATGTATAGTCATAAATGCCGTGCGATTATTATTTACACATAAATAGTACACATGTTATAATTAAACGTGTGTAAATTCAATAACAGAAATTATAATTCTTCTAACGGTTATAAATATATTAATAAGCTCTAAAATTAATTTCATAGAATTTTCATTACACAAAATTTTATAAAAATAAAATTTATAAAAATAAAATTTATAAAAATAAAAGTTATAAAAATAAAATTTATAAAAATAAAAGTTATAAAAATAAAATTTTATAAAAATAAAATTTATAAAATAAATTAGATAAAATAAATCATTATCTAGAATTTATTTTTAATAGAATTTTTATTTCTACAAATTATTGTAAATTTTAATTTATTTATTTAATTATTTATTTATTTATTTATTTATAACATTAACACCCGCGATCTAATTGGACGATAAATGGGCAACTTCAGTACATAGCTTAAATTATATTACAAAATTAGAAATAACTAAAAAAAAATAAAATAAAAAAATTAAAATTATGAAAAATTATGAAAATTAAAAAAAAATTATGAATTAAATATTAAAATTATAAATTTCTATATTACAGAACTGTTACTTAAACGAATTTTTATTTTACATGTTTGTTATTTCATTAAATTTGAATATTTTTGACAGAATTATTATTTTCTTGAAATAAAAAAATTTTTAATTCTGAATTTTATTATTTAATTAAGAAATTGTCATTTATTCGAATTTACATTTTACTGAATTTTAAAAACAACGAATTTTCATTTTACACAATTTTCATAATAATAAATTAATATAATAATTATAATAATAATAATAATTCATAATAATTAATTCATAATAAATTATTTGGCAAAACAAATTTACCAATTGTAAAATTAGTGTTCAAATTTTTCTGACTGATATTCATTGAAACAAATTAAAGTTCTGTAAAATAAAAAATTCAACGACTTAATAATTCTGGCAAATGTAAATTCGGATATGAAAATTAAATTAGGAAAGAAATATTTTTTTTCTGTAAAATAAAATTTTTTTAAAATTACTATTCTGTCTAATGAAAATTCGAGGAAATAATCATTTTGCTAAATTCAAATTCGATGACATAAAAAATCCATAAAATAAAAATTCTGTAATAATTCTGTAATATAAAAATTCGGTTAAATGGAATTTCTATTAAATAATAATTCAAAGAAATAATAATTTGAAAAAATAAAAATTCGGCTAAATTGTAAATTCTGTGAAATTCTGACAAATTAATTTTAGAGCTTATTTATAAATCGCATATTAATGTAAAAATTATATCTATATTATATTTTTTCTTTCTGTTTTTTTTTCACTATTCAAGGATTAAAAATAAGATTTATCGATTCGGACCAAACGACGGGCGATCCTTTAAGGTATATATAGAAAAAGGAACCTTTTAGGATATTTTGGTACGTGCCAATCACTGACTTCTGGTCAGTTCTTAACTCGAAAATTGTACTATAGCTCTTTCTTTCATAAAAGATTTCAGGGTTTCAAAGTAGTTCAGACTCAGGAAATCAAGATTTACCGCCATGGGTCCAGATTTTCGTGAAAATAAATTGCCTTTGTTATATTTGAATTACTTTTTTCATTTAATAGCTCAATCCTCAAAAGTCACGTTATTCGCGATTTTTTAGGAAAAAAAAAGATTTATTTTAACCACAATGTTGAGATTGTAAATTTTAAATATTAATTAATTTTTTTTTTCTAACCTCAAAATAATATGATATAAAAATATGATCTTTTATATACTGAAATTCATTATAATTGTTAACGTTCGTTTTTTAAATATATTTTTAAATTATTAATATAAAATATAAATTAAATTATTCACTGTATGATAATTAACAAAAAAAAATCGACTTACCGATCGATGAATTTCTATCCTTGAGGCTGTCATGTCATCCACTGAAACATAAAAAAAAAAAATTTTAAGTATGATGAAACTTTTCATTTTTCAAAAGAAATACAAAAGGTTTTTTTTAAAAAACAATTTTTTCAATATAAAAAATAAAATTGTTATCAAATAATTTTAATTTTTTAATAATTAATAATAATAATAATTTTATATTAATTATAAATATAGAATATAAATAAAATTATTCTTGATGATAAATAAAAAAAAATAAAAATCAACTTACCGATCAGGCTGTCACGTAGGTATTCACTGAAACAGAAAACAAATTTTTTTTCAAAAGTATGATGAAATTTTGTATTTTTCAAAAGAAATACACAAATAACTTTGAGGTTTTTTTTAAAAAAACAATTTTTTCAATATAAAAAATAAAATTGTTTTAAAATAATTAATTTTTTAATAATTAATAATTAATAATTTTATATTAATTATAAATATAGAATATAAATAAAATTATTCTTGATGATAAATAAAAAAAAATAAAAATCA